ATCCCCCCCTGCCCCCGCCCCCCTGCCCCTGCTCACCCCTCCCCCTCCCTGTCCCCCCCCACCTTCTCCCCCCTCCCCCCACTCCCCTGCCCTCCTCACCCCCTCCCGCTCCACCCCCCCAACTCTGCACTGGCCCCACCCCCCCAATTCCTGGGGGGGCGCAGACGCGGGAGGAGTGGCAGTACGTGTTCCTCATCGCCTCGCTGGTGCACTACGGGGGGGTCGTGTTCTACGGGATCTTCGCCTCGGGCGAGAAGCAGCCCTGGGCCGAGCCGGAGGAGACCAGCTCTGAGAAATGCGGCTTCATCCACGAGGACGAACTGGCCGACGAGGAGGACGAGGCCGCCCGGGGACTGGGCGACGGGGGCGGGGGCGGCTACGGGGCCACCAAGAGCACCAGCTTCGCCAATGGGGGCTGGGCGGCCGACTGGGACAAGAAGGAGGAGTTCGTGCAGGAGCCCGGCAAGGACACCTACATGTACGGGGCGCCGCGGGAGAGGGACCTGTCCTAGGGACCCCCCGAATCGCCGCCTCCCCCCGGGCACCTCTGCGGTGGTACAGTCCAGAGGGGTGGGACCACACTTGGCCACACCCCTATTCTGCAGGCCACACCCCAATTCCCCCCCCCCCAGTGTGTTGGTACGGTCCAGGGGGACCGGACTGAGTTTGGCCATACCTCCCCATTCCTCCACTGCATTGGTACAATCCAGCAAGGTGAGGTGGAGCTGAGTTAGGCCACACCCAAATCCGCCCCAAGTGCCACTGAGCCAGGGGGTGGGATTTATTTTAGCCACGCCCAAATCCCCCACGGCATTGGTATAATCTGAGGGGGGCGGGGCTGAGTTTGGCCACACCCCCACACTATAGGCCACAGCCCCCTTCGTTGGTGCCATCCAGGAGGGCGAAGGAGTGGAGCTGAGTCAGGCCACACCCCCAAGCCCTCAAGCCACAGCCAACCGCCCTCACTGGTACAACCCCCCCTCTATTGGTACAGTCCTCTCCCCACCCCCCTCCACAGGCCACGCCCAAATCTCTTCCTCTCTGGGCACCACCATTTGGTATGACCCATCAGGGCGAGGGGGTGGCACTTAGGGTTAAGTTGCCCTACCCCCCGGGCCAGCGGCAATGGTACAACCCATTGGAGCGGTGGGGGGGGAAGTCCCCATATCCCACTGACAAGGGTCTGCGGGGAGGGCGGGGCAGAGGTTAGACCTTTGACCCTGAGGTCGGAAGGTCTTGACCTTTGACCCTTGGCCTCTGCAGGGGCACCACTTGACCTTGAGATCAAAAATCCTTTGGCCTCAGGGTTTGGCCTTGAGCCCAAGTTGACCGTGAGGTTGGTGGTGCCTGACCTTTGACCTTGAGACTCCCACGTGCCCCATAATAAATTAACCCCTCCCCCCAGCAGGCCTGGGGGGCAGCACTAGAGATCCACGGGGGGGGAGAGCAGTGGAGGGGGACAGGGGGATGCCCCAGACTGTGACCCCGGGGTTCATTCTGACAGCGTCTTTACAAAGTGACATGGCAAATGGCGGTTTTGAGCCACCCCTCATGAGCCAGTCGGCGGTTTTGAGACACCCCCCGCTCCTTCTCCGAGCTGCCCGCCCTGGCGGCTGCCAGCCACGGCCGAGATGACGGTTTCAAGCTGCTCCCTGCATTCTCGATGGGCAGGTTCAACACCCCACATGCTGCAGGTGGTGGGTTCGAGACACTTCACGCGCTCTAGGTGGGGGGTTCGAGACACCCCGTGTGCTCCAGCTGGCAGTTTCAAGTTACCCTGCATATTTTATGTGACGGTTTCCTGTTACCCTGTACAGCTCTAACCAGCAATTTCAAGTTGCTCTGCATGTCCTAGCGGGCATCCAGGCATCCTGCCTGATCCAATTCTGGCTGGTAGTTTCGGGACACCCCACACAATCCAGCCACCGGTGTCAAGCCGCCCTGCATGTCCTGGCTTGCCGGGTCACAGTTGCTGCATTGCAATTCTCCTGGGTATTTTCCAACTGTCTTGCTTCCTCCAGCCGGCGGCTTCAAGTCACCCCACAGCTTCCAGCTGGCAGTTTCAGGCCATCCCAACCCATCCAGCTGGTGGTTTCAAGCCACCCAGCACAGTCTTAGCCAAGGGCTTCAAACAAGTCAGCGCCCTCTAGTTGGCGGTTTCATGTCCCCTCTTACATGTGACAGTTTCAAGTCCCCCCCCTTGCATTCTCTCGAGCCACGTAGCCACCTGTGGAGTGAGGCCCGGCCCTACCTGACATCCCACCCCGCCCACCCCCGCGCTGGTTCGGCCGTGGCACCGCCCAGTTCCTCCCAGTTAGAGGCAGGTGGCGATGCTGTGGGCTGGGGGATTCCCCCAAAAATGTGTGGGGGGGGAGACCTGAGCCCTCCTGTCCCTTCCCCTGCCCCACAGCTCCGGCATTGGAGGGTCCGCCTGGCGTTGAGTGTACGTGTGTGTCCCGCCCCATTGGAATAAACCAATTCTTGTGTAAATATATAAATATAAATTATATACGGGACCGAGAGCGGGGCCGGGCCTGTGAGAGCTTCCTTCCTGCGCCGGGGGGGGAGTGTAGGGGCGGATCGCTCCCCGTCCAGCCCCACGGCCCCCCTGTCTGTCCACCCATCCCCATCTGCCCCCTCTGCCTGTCTAGCCCCATATACCTCCCCGT